TGTGGCTCTGTCCCACTCTCCAGGCAGGTCCTGCAGCCGCACATTCCGGCCTCGGGTCCTATGCACCACCCTGGCAGGACAGTGACCCCAGCCTCAGCCCTGCCCTGCCCCCTCTCTCACTGTGGGGGCCTCAACCTGTTCCTCCCCCCACACAGACTTACCTGGAGGGATCCGTAGGAGCTGCTCTCCATGCTGCCTGGCTGCCACATGCACGTGTACATGCACATGTGCATGTGGTGCCCCTATCACTCTCCTCCTGCTCCCCCCAGCCCCAAGCAGCCCCTTGCAGACTGGAACTCTGGCAGCCTGCAAGGGGAAACCCTCCCCGTTTCCTGAATTTTTCTCCCTGGCTCACAAAATACAGGCAGCAATGTTTACTTTTTAACAGGATGTTACATGGACCACAGCAGCGTGCTGACTGGGCCGCATGTGGCCCACAGGTTGTGAACCACCGACTTCGTCCCTATGCTATCGCTCAGGTCAGCTGCTGCATGACGCTTAATGCTAAAAAGAAACTCAACCATGAAGAAAGGCCCTAGGCTGCCAACTACAAATCTAAAACAGCCCTGTATTGAATCAGTTTAATAAGCTCAGTGAGTATCACTGTGCCCCTCCACCTCCACTGTGCCCCTTTGATATTTTCTTGGTACAGGAAGGGGAAGGAGTCACTTTAGAACTGAAGTTTCCACTAACCCGTTTTCATGTTTTACAGGCCACCAAAATGGCCCTTGCCCCTTCAATGCTTGACTCCCTGTTGTAGCACCTGGAGAAATCTGGCCACTACATGGATGCATGCATCTGAGACTAGAAGCACAGCTCTATCGAAAACAAGCATTTCAGGGGGGTGAAAAACAGCAATTCGGCAAACTTGCTTGAATTTTACGTATTGCCTGGTCATCAAAAGAAATCCCACTTAAATTGAGATTCCTTAGCTGTGGCAGTGCCTGACCCACAGTGACAATGGCATCACAGGAAAGCTTAGCACAGGATGCAAGGCAGAGGGTTTCCAGGTACTTCAAGGGCACTAAGCAAGCAAGGCCAGCATCAGTCAGAGATGGAGCATCACTGAACTCCAGAGTGCGGAGCTGTTTCATGTAGCGTCCAATGAAGTGAGTGGCAAAGTCTGTCAGGATGCACTGGCGCAGCGTGAGGTGCTCCAGAGCCTCCAGGTGTGGTGCGGCTCTCTGAAGTCCCGCATCTGTCACCCGGTAGGTTCCACAGAGGGTCAACGTCTGCAGGCGAGTCTGAGAAGAGACGTCCAGCAGGTGCCAATCAGAAAAGGAAGGGACTTCGTAAATGAAGAGATGCTTCAGCTGTGGGGGAGCACTAGTGCTGTCTGGACCTGTAGCTCGCCGGAACCACATCCCAGGGATCTCGCACCGGCTCAGCTCCAAGGTCATCAGAGACGAGGGCATGAAGTCATAAGGAAGCCGCCGGAGGTCGGCACACACCAGGCACAGCCTCTGGAGGCCAGGACACTGCTTTCCCAAGGCCTGCAACAGCGCTGGGGAGAGGAACTCCTGCTTCCTCGAAGAGCAAAGGGTTCCTCTCACCTTCAGTGTCCTCACATTATTGCGCAGGTGATGCCGCAACAGGTGCCACAGGATCCTGGAGCTGATCTGATTGCAAAAAAGCCAGCACCAGAGTTCTTTACCCATGGATAGAGACATTGGCACAGCAGCATGAGGCCCCGACACCCCCATCCACCTCTCTCATCTTCCTCAAACAAATGATATCCCTTTTTGCCCAGATTGCTGCAGATCCCGGCACTGCTGTCCACCAATATGCTGGCTCATGCACTCCAGCAGGGCTGGAACGCTGCTGCTTCACATCGAAGTGCAGCCTCCACCCTCCTTGTTATGCTATTAATGCCATCCAAAAACTGATCTACTCCTTGTGGTGTCTCTTTGCATGAAATTTTGACCTTCTCTCCACAGCCCTCTGCTCCTGCCAGTCAATAAAAGAGCTGCCCTGGCTGTCTGAACTGGCTTCTTGATGTCTCTTCCTCCCTCACTTGCCTATGCACTCTCAGGCCTATCTAACACATATCAGGAACATGGGCCTCCTGCCCACAGAGCAACAGTTAGCACCAACCATTGATAGAGGGAGCTATTGGGTATGTGTCCACTAAATTCAGGGAACAAATGAAATACCAAACAGGGACAGGAGAGGAGGTCAAAGGTTCAAAATGAGGGGGAATGCCAAATGGAGCACACCAGCCAGTGCACGCTGGCCTTCAAATGAGTCCAAGGAGGCAGTGGACACTGCCCAGTGAAACTGTGCATGGAGATGTGAGCGGACAAGGGACAGGAAAGCGGTCCTGTAGTCCTTGGGGGTCCTCCCAGCCAGAGCCTGCTTCCTGGTCGGATGTATTGTGATCTTAACCAGTGCTGCCTCAGGTCAGGTGCTAGCTGCAGGCAATGCTCTGGCCTGACTTTGCCTGCAGGGTTACTATGTCAGCCCCACACAGCTGCCTCAGCAGACAGACTGGGGCGGGGGGGGCGGTACCTCGTAGGGTGTTAGATCCACGTGTCTCCAGAGCACCTTGTCCTGCACCAGACGTCGCCAGCGCCTGCAGACCCTGGGGGCAGAGCAAGAGGCTAGGTG